GCTGAGAAGACGGTGAGCTTGAATACATCAACCTCAAATTTCAACCTCTGATGTAGTAGGCCAAATGAAAATGTGGAAAGCTTTTCTATAATGACGTGCTTGCTTATGATTCGATCAGAAATGTATTTGAATAGATTTCTCTTCGATGAGACAGACACCTGCAAGCAACATTAATGAGTGCTGATTGTTGACGGCAATAATCAGCTGTTACGTAAGCAGTGTTGCGTTCATTTATGTGGTTAATTGCATCATATGTCAATGTTTGGTTTAACCTGAAGGTGTATTCAACAATGTAGACTTTCGGATATGGTACCTAACTGGGATGAGTTCAAGAATGAGTAATGGAGCAAATTTGATTGCTACAATTGAAACGAAATGCGCACGTACATGACTAAAATGCGTTGCTGACGTCCACGGAAAATCAGTCGTCCAGAGTGATAGATAATGAGTACTGCAAGCGATAAAAGTATGTCCCTCCAATGAATCAGATTCATTGAACATTTTAGTAAACCGGTTCGTTTCGATTCAATTTGAATGAGTTTTGTAATGAATTCGTTTTCTCACATGAGCATACTCAGATGGTTAGATTGCTTCAGTGAAATCCAAACGGAGTTGCTATGATTGCTTCTATGAAATCCAATTAGAAATGCCACATGGATGAGCGTTCTTTAATGAACTCAATTTTATTGTTTTGCGCTTGCATGGGATATGCGAGTTGATATTATTAGGAGCTTATTCATGTTTCAACACGATATTCTGTTGAACAGACTTAATTGGCGTTTGATTTGAAATAATTTGCTTGCATACGGATTTGAATTGTGTTTACGCGCTTGTTCATTCTAGCTTTCATTATTGAAGGAGGCTGCGTGAAGTGATCCGAATGTCAAACACACAAGCATTATCGCTCTGGTAAACGCTGAACAAAACTGTCATGCAATTAGAATATGATCAGTTAATGAATCAGTGTTGTAACCTATTATATTGCCCACTTCATGCATTTGCTGATGCCTTCATTATCAACGAAAATAATGAAAGAAGGAAAACAATATAATTATTGAAGACGCAGTTGCAAGTCTTTCCACTACGAAAACATCAGCGTCAGCATCACTTGTTTTAAGCACCTGCAAATTCGTTTGGTATTTACATGATGAACCAACCCTTTATGCATTTTATAAGATTTCAATCAAACGATCTAATTAATTTCAGAAGTGGAATATAGCACATTGATGCGGTTCTATGAAATAAAGAAATAATTGCTGTAAATATCATTCATAGCACATCGTTTGTTGCTTTTTTGAAGAATACTGCAAATTGACTGCGTCATCTCATCTGAATTTCCTCCTATTCAATTAATTACGAATCCATGCTTTCGATTTCAATTGTTTTAATCATGGTCATTCGAAATGAAATGTTCGCTGATTGCTGGCATATGTTTCCGACTGTTTCTTAGAATCCTTAGTATTTCTTAGTATTCATTGAACATAATTTTGCACTGTTATTTCCGTAACCATTTTGACATTTGGTCAAGATATTTAACCATTAACATACGATCCACAGAACTAACTTATTAAATTGAGATTTCACCGAATCAGCACAGCTGTCGTCAGATTAGTGATGCGGATTACTTGTGTGATCAGATGCTAATACGGAACTGTTCGATATTTAGTGTGTATATGTCGGTGACGACCTATCACACGTATATATTATAATGAGCGCTTCTCGCTCAAAATACTTTGTGTCAGGCATCACATTCACGACAAATAGTTGCAGATATTTTACAGTTACACGGTAATGAACTTATTCGTTTCTACAACAAATCGCCGACGAGAACTTGTTTGCAATAAATGAAATTGCTAAAAGTATCCGGATAGATAGATTGGTGACTAGATATTTGCCTAAGAGAAGTGCTCCTACGAAATGCTTCCCTTGAGAGTTGATTTCCTCTACCTATAAGAAGCATTCATGGCCCTGTGTGGTACCGTGGCGGTCGTATGAGTAATATTTTTTAATGTTACTGAATATGGTTAAATGTATGAAATATCACGAGCGTGTTAAGTCTGTTGTTGACGTCAGGATGTTTGTAGAGATGAATACGTTTACGGTGGCAATTGCAATTATAATAACGAATGCTCGTAACATGCGACTGCAATTAAGATGTCACGAAAATCTGTTCTCCATCTATTTCTATTCTTACGGTGAGAAACTGGAATGCTCGCAACAATGCTTTTAGGTGTTGATGAATGAATGTTTCGTGCAATTATCAGTCTGTTCTGTTACTTAGGCCTGGTTAGGTCCCAATCTAATGTGTATTCAATTACGAAACTTGATGCAAGATGTCGTCGTTGATGGCAACACTTCTTTATGACGTATACTAGGTTATTGGATGGCAGCTTATTAGAGTACCACACAATGTACAAATCTTTATTTAAGTGAATTGCATCTTTTTGATAAACTGTCCTGACGGTGGAAATAACCTGGGGTAATGAAAATGACAAGAAACGGCAAATAATACTACTTCTAATGGTGTTTTGAAAATCTTACAAGCCCTTCAGTAAGATATGCCGCCAACATTCTTCTACATTGCCAATTTATGCTGACTGGAAAAGTGGTTTGAAGTAGTACTAGTGATTGCTCCTCAAGAACTGACTTGAAAAACATTCAATAAAAGAAAGGGAAATTTGTGGTGATTGAAGGTGGCTGATGATCAAAAGGAGAACGGATTAGGTGAATTTTTCGACTGTTCATTCCGACGGCAAGAAAGATGTTTTTTTGACGTGGAGAATTCATTGTTTTACGTTCGAATAGCGCAAGTCTTTCGAGGAATTAAATTTTGCTTCAACCAAAGCGAGCAGCTGATAACTGTCCCAATTGATTATTAGTGTAAAGAACACAGCTGAAAAATACATTCAACTTACAATTCATTCGATCTGTTTTCAGAGAGAAATATTGCATCGAAATACCAACTGCACTTATCAATAAGTGCCAAAGCAGGGTCTCAGACCTAATATTCCGATTTCGCCTTGTCACTATTCAGTGATTGATGTCTAATAAAAGATATCACTCTCGCTATTATCGTGAGTGCTTACTTTGCAGCTCTGTGCACTGGATTTTTACCAGTTTAGACGGTACTCGAATAGTTTGCCTAACTTGACCTGTGCAAGCACAGTCGACCAATTTGACGAGAACCGAGTAAAGAAAAGCGGTATGGTTGCTTATTGCCCACGAACGCACAACAAACTTTTCAGCAGCTCGTGCCAATCACTGTTTGAATCATCTTCGATGAATCCAATCAGCGGCTGCAGTTGCCTCAGAATGAACCTTACCATGCAACAGAACCATTTTCCATTCTCGTTTTCACATCCACTACAATCATTCGACTGGGGCGTTTTGTAACACTCCTTTATTTGAGCGTTATTTAAGCTAAAAACATATCATTTTTCATCCTTATCGGGCGTTATATACTCATTCCATTGAGCGTTTCTGATTTACTATCAATTTACTTATTGTCAGAGCGGTTTAGTGTTACATCTCTTAGATATCGCTCGAGTTCTGTGGTTAAGTTGTTGCATATGTTCGTATGCTGTTTCCATGAACTTATTAATGTCATTATGGTACCTTATAGCCTTCTATCTTTCGCAGTTCGCTGCTCGTGTTGTTCAAGCACTTCTTTACTAGGTTATTGCCACGTTTGTCTTAGACATGTTTATCATAACTTCGCTGTTCACCATTGATATTCTTTGAACGTTGTGTTAAACGGCTGTTATCATAAGCTGCGCATTTAGCAACTAGCAAATGCTTGTTTTAGACGTGGTCCATTCAGATGATTGGACTTTAATGAAATGAGTTCGTAAGCGGTTAGATCCAATAATGCTTATGAAATGTACGAATGATCGCTTTGTTATATTTCAAGTAAATTATTTCAGGCATGGTCAGCAGTACGTGGCCACATATTATTTACTTTTTTGCGATTTGCTTACACTTTCCAACCACTCTTGCATTTTCCCTGAAACCGCCTATTGTCGGATCTATACTTAAAACTTCTGCTGATGATCTTGAGAAAGTTCTAAGAAAAATGTAAGTTTCACTGAGTTCCGGTGGAATAAAACTCGGAGGCCTCTAAAACGTTGTTAGCGTTTTGGTATCCCCGAACTGTTCGAGTCTCGAGAGCCGTCAACCCAACCCTAATTTCACCCTCCTTAGGTATTTCATTAGACTCGTATTAGATTCTGAAAGTCGAGATGATTTCCTTCAGGGGACGTTGTTTTTATGTTTCTCGCATCCTCAGCTTCATTTGTTAATTGTTACACTGAGCAAACAGCCCTCAAGACAAGGTCAAAAAACATTTGTGCAACAAAAATAATTTTGCAGAGAGAATCAACGCATATTTGCCTCAGATGATGGACGTATTAGATGGTCACCAAACGGCAAGTTGCTGTTGATGACTGGAAATGATGTGGAATTGAAAGAGGATAACAGTGAAGACACTGATTTGATGAAATCACTGAATCGCAATTGCCTCTTCTCACTGAGGAATTGTTTACATTTTTCAATGAGGAATGCGAAAACGAATCAACGATACCAACAATACGTTGAGGGAATGCAAACGGTTGTCGACGAATTTCCAGCGAATAAACGCAATTGGTTGAAGCGATTCACTGCTTCGAAATTTTTGTATAGAGCTTAGTACTGTTTCACTGATGGAATCCCTCGCTTTAATTGTTACAGTGAATGATATTGTAAGCATCCTTGAAGAGTAAAAAATTGATGGGCTCTATACGGTTATTGGAACTTATGACTTGTACGTCCTTACATCCCTCACAGCCCTGAGATTCTCCGAAAACAGCGTTGAAGATAGCTGTTTGATGGAGGAGAGAAAGATCATCGGAGCATCGATACTGAATATAATATATTAGCACAACGTAAGTGTGATGTGATGTGATGAAACGTTTGAAATCGTTATTGCAAGTTGTCGGCATTTATTTGAGCATATCGTAAAATGATTCTTTTGTTGTCGTCTGAGATCGTCGTCAATAAAATCACCACTACAATACGCCTATAATGCGAGTTCATAAAACTTCACATGTTTTTCATATATTCATTTTCTGCTTATAATGTTGTAATGAAGACCAAAATATTGACTCAAACTTGGCAATTCTTCATTAAAGATTTAACATTGTACCATCGAGCGCCGTGATATTTTTATTATAGTGTTTGAGATGGACGAAGCCCAAATAAACGCTTCATTTCTTCAATGATATTAGCTCAATTCAAGTTTTTTTTGCAGTTTGAAAAGAAAGGCTTCTGTTAATGAAGAGGAAATTCAACAGCCTTTAAAATCCATTTCAGCGCGGTTGATCGAATGAGAAATTCGATGACGTTGAACACTGTTGATTCAGGTGCTAATCTAATCGATTGATTGAATGAAAGCATTATCGACACTGAATTTTCCAAACTCGGATCCGCATTCGTTATCGTATTGTACTTAATTGGTCATTTGGGGATTGGATGAATGATACTACCTTATTGTTTGTCATCACCTCCAGAAATGCGACAAAATCCAACATGCAAAAATAAGTGGTGAAATACTTGAATGCGAACGTTCATCAACAAACCAATTTGTGTAAAATAGATGACAGCAATTAATGCTCTATTGAAAAATAATCAAAACATTCGTTGAAATTGTCAAAAGTAAGAATAAGACGTAAAACCGGATGGCAATCAAGCACATAATTATCCCACAGGGTTGTACAACTACAAACTCAATTAAGATAATAATTCTAGTAACAATTATTGCAATATTGGCTTCTTTTTTTTACAGAATGCAAACAGCCAGCATCCAGATTACACATCACCTACTTAATGCCCATAATTGATCTTGCTTTGAAATGTTTTCGACATTCATTTCACCACAAAAAACCATCATCCATAATTCAGCTCAGTTGTACGCAGACATTTACGCATGTCTAACAATCGACTCAAGTTTATTGATCGCTATGTGCTGAATCATCTGAAATTCTAGGTATTGCATTTTTACTGGAAGGAAACGCGAGAAGCTGCGATAACTGAAGTGAAACATGACTCATGCGGGGCGGGGTAACTAATAAAAAACTAATGGCATACGGGGGTGACTGACATATCTGGCTAACAAACTGGTATCATAAATTTCAACGCTAGTTTTTTTTTTCAGTTTAACAACAAACTGGCATCATAAATTTTAATTTATTGATATTTAGCATTTGTAATGTCGTAGGAAAGTTTAATTTGCAGAATCAAATGGTGACGGCTCAAGGAATAGTGAAAATCAAAATTTCAAGTTAATGATGAAACCATTGATATTTTTACAAACCCACAATCGAAATTTTCATTGAAAATGGAAAAGAGTGGAATACTTGAGATGGTTGAGAAAAAAAGAAGATTATGAGTAGAGATGCATAAATAGACATATACTCAAGTATGACGAATCGATAGTCGGACGAATATTGTTGTCGTTTGACATTCAAACTTGATCGACAATTGTTATAATACCATAATACTATGTCAACAATCATTTAACTTCAGCGAATGTTATTATGCATGACAAACGAGAAGAATGTCGGAACGAGTCTTTTGCTATTATCCTCTTAAAATTTCACTTTTAGTTTGATTAACACAAATACACTGAAAAATTTACATTTCAAGAAGTTTCTCGAGTAACGAACCACTTTTCAGTGCAGTACAGCGTTGAATTTTATCAAAAATTGCTTTAAAATCTTTGTATTCTGCGTAGTTTCTATATGCATAGCTTCTAATTGCAATGCAAAATAATGAATTATTTATTGGTGGAGCATGCCCTGCTGTTCTGATTTAGTTGCATAACTTCTGTATTCCAGTAGGTGTCATCTGAGTGATCAAACGACTGATTCGGTCTGATAACATCAAATATTCGTGGAGTTTGAGTTAACATGGTATGATTTGAGAAAATCAAAGTTTTAGCATCAAGTTGAATTTACTGGTTTGTTCTGAAACGCACGCTGAGATTTTTTATGAATAATATGAGCTGATCCAGCACGACATCTTCATGTCATTTTTAGAAAATTTTCAACAACTTAAAGAATAATCATCATTTTTTTGAAAATTTTTACAAGGAAAGAACGAGAATGTGACTGGAAAACTCTCCAGCGTCATATGTCGTAGTTTTCAAAAATCATGACTCCAAGCCAAGCCCAGATTCGGTGTAATTGAATCGTTAACAGATTGGTTAAGCACTCGACAAGTAACTTCGCACCAAATTTTTATTGATATTTTGACACAGATCAGCAAGATCCATTCTTTAGTAGAAATGTCACTTCACAGAGTGATGTCTTCTCGCTGCGGTGCTAATCTCATGCGAGAAGTGTAGTAATCACCAGAAAGTGAACACTCGGTTAATTTTGAATGAACAGTGGAGAAACATTAAAGTGTGGATCTCTTTTCTACAGAGATTAACATAATTGTTAATTAATCATTAGAGTGTTAATCTTTGAACTGCTGTTTTTGTTCGTAGAAACTGTTGCAAAATCAATTCGAGATTGCGAGTTTTCTCAGTAAAAATCTCCCGATTATTTCAATCGTAGGCTGAACGAAGACATTCTTCTTCGATTACGTGATGATCAGTCATCTGACTGATTGTCACTAATGAGTTTGGTGAACATTTCTGCAGAAATACAAATGTGTGTACGTGTATGGTTACGCAATACATCGCAACAATTAAATTTTGAATAGACCATGCGAAAAGATGTGTATTACGGTTGTCAAATGACAGAACTACTTTTCATATTCCTGAAAATTGCCATCAAAATAGTTTAAATGTGTGTCAATTAAGCGTTAATAGCATTGAAAGCAATAACATTGACGTTAAGATTAGCGTGGACATCGTAAATGAATAACAACCATCTTGAAGGAGGAGAATCAATGCGTAATTCTGATCTATGCACATATTTGTATGCATGCCTGAGGCAGCAAACTGGTCCCAATTATAGAAAGACGATCATCGATAATAATAATATAATAACAATGATCGTCTTCACGGATTGATATTGGGTCCTTTTTGAGAGGTGCGTCCATATAAAGGTATAACATTGCGCATCTATCGTTGACGCACGGTACGCATTCATCCAGCTTTCACATATTACATATTCATTTTCTTTACCTTGCCATTAGTGTCTTCTGTTCAAATCTTATGCCACTTTGATCTATCGTGATAGTCTAATGATAGTGCCGTCTTACTTTTATGTAGTTTCCGCAGACCGAATATGCACTACTTCAGTACAATTATCTATTCTCATTCAGTTTATATTCTAAAAATATGTACTTTTTGTGGGCTCGGTAGAAACCTTACATTGAGTCGATTTTTTGTAAAATTGAACTTGTGATGGCACCACTGAATCTGAGTGAATGAGCGCAGAAAAGTAGGTTCCTGAAGTTTTGATCGTCAAAATTATTGAAGGTTTATCCTGTTCATGAAACAATAGTAATGACTGCATGAATGATGCAAGCTCGACCTGGATATGATCAAACTTGCATCATTGTGACCGAGTGGTAATTTCTGTTTTAATATTCAACTCCCCGTTGAAAATGAAAGTGAAAAACGTTTCTATCGAATGTCACTCTCACGAATAATTTGAACGTTTTAATGTCAAGTGCAGTGCGATTTTGTGCCGATCTAATTGACGTAATCATTTCAGACGGATTCTTCACACGGACAGCTCAATTCAAGGGCAATAACAATACGCACTGATTGAAAATTGTTTGTGATGAATTTAAAATTAAGCATTCTCAAGGAAGCAGCGAAATGAACTTTTCTCATATCATCCATATTTACTGCTGCTTCATTTTCTTCAGCAAAAGTGAGTTATTTTATTCAGTGGAACCTCAGTTTATGAACGCCTCGATTTGCAACCAATTTGAGTTATGACCGAAATTTTTGACAAGAGTTTGCTTCGGCTCATAATTACTTTCGACCAAATCCGGGGAATTTTTGAATTCACCCTTTCGAGCAAGGTCAGACCTGGGAGTGACGGGATTCTGATCGTTCCTTACTGGTTTTCAGCTCACTGAGCAACATTCATATGATTATTTCAGACGTTTTTGACGTTCGGCGCAATGTATTTTCTGTTTTTTGTTACTTATGCGGTTGCTCTTTTAAATAATGGAAAAAAACTGTGTTTGTGAAAGGGTGTTTGATGTCTCTACAAACATATCGAAGAGATCGATTCATTTTCGAAGGATTCGGAACTGAAAGTAGCTAAGGAGTAGGCTTCATCACAAGAGTCCTCAGTTAGAAAGAAGACTACTGAATGACATTGAATTGAATCATAATCAATTTCTAGTGTTGTATTTTCGAAGACGTTGAAGGCTAATTAGGAGACAGGCCCTCGAAGCACTACTCTAAAACTTGCTAAAGCAGTTAACGCTGAATCCGATTATATATCCCACTCTCATTTCTTGACAATGCCTCAACCTCTAGGAGTAGATAATCAGTGGGATTTTTGACTACAGTTTAGAGCGCAATGAAAATGAGTTGAGAGTATGACCAAATCGCCACCTTCCGTTGCACATTTAGCTGCATATAACTGCCGCTCATAAGAGGTTTAAAGCATCTGTAACAGTATTCGTAAGCTAATGTTAAGTTGGGCATTAAGTTACTGCAAAAAACGTAAACTTCACAGATTTTAAGTGCAACGGAAAAAATAATTTATGGTCATTCAGAAACATTCCCTAAGAAAATGCAGTCTAAATTATCACATGCAAAAATGGCGTCCAGTATTATCACAAACTTGTTGATGAGTGCTAATTGGTGTGCCCATGAAATCAGAACTTCATGAACTCAAAACACCCAGCAAAATGCNGCCGGATTTGCCCATTACTGTAGCATTTTCGCCCACCAATGGGTTATATTGCTTGCTCTACGAACTCATCTTCTACGCTGTCAATGAAAATTCACAGTAAGATGAGTGGGATCAGCTGGAACGGAATCATTCATTTTCTGTTAAATGATATGAAAAAGCATGCTTTGTTTCAAGATCAAACAGGCTTATGACCAAACTGCTGAAAAGAATTGCTACCGTAAATCGACGTTCCACTGTATCAATGTTTCTTTTTTGTTTGCGGTCAACACAAAACTTTCGTACAATCGGTTTTTCAAAGTTAATCAGAAACCAACCGAATATAGCATGGAATACTCCTGCAAAATCTATAAAAATGATACTTTATCAGTTTGCTTCTATGCTTGCCTCATTAATCGTACGTGCTTGTGAGTCATAGCGCTAATAAATAAATAAATAAATAGGCCTCAGGAATGTATGAAAACCAGCGTTTCTGACAACTGGTGAGAATCAGTTTCGTAATCAAAAAGGAACGATTTTTTACAAGTCTTCATCATTCTACGCGTCTGTTGTGTTCTACATTGTTAGGTACTATATTCTTCTACATGCGAACCATTTCATTTTCAATTGCTTTCAGCGAACGGTAAACGGATTTGTAGCAAAAAATTCCACAAAATATCCGACAGTGATTCCTTCTTCCAACGAGTTGATAGCGCATCAGCTGAGAAATGCCTGGAACGATGCATCGATCAGATTGAGCACTGTAAAGCAGCTGTATTCACACAGGACAGGAAAAAGGTACTGCATTTGTTGCTGCGTATAAATTAGTTGATATAATTAATAGTGTATAATATTACTGATTGGAGCTAATTCAGTCACCTGATAATATCAACCAACAACATTGATTTGCTGCTCCATTCCAATCATTGTTTCGAATCTGTTTCAGTTGAACGGCCTTTGTCAACTGTATGCAGTGAATTCACAATCGAACGATGTCAAAGTTGTTATCGATGGAACGCTGAACCCAATCAGTACAGTTTACGAGCTCGCTGACAAATGCGCGGTGTCGTTATCGAACAACAAAGATGACATTGCAACAAGAATTGATCCTGAGCTCCGATATAAACTAGAAAACTGGTCAGATGATGAGAATGAAGACAAGATTCTAAAAATAATTGCAACTGATACAGCAGAACATCGGCGAAAAGAGACTGAAAGTGACAGCGAATCTCATCGAACGGAAACTGATGAAGGTATCGCTCTAAATGACTTTTGCACTCAATATCTATTATCGCATTTATAATATCGAAATTTTGGAAGTGAACAAGTGATCTGCTTATGTCACCTTCAAGTAATCTTCTTACCTCTCACTCATCTACCAGGAGAGATGCGCACTGATCACGCGAAAACAAAGATCGCGATGAGTGAATTCAATGGACCACGCTTCATCACGACCGATAGCAGTCACGAAAAGGAATCGGAAGTTTCTCGATTTCGAACATTTCCCAAACCTCCTCCGACCACACATTCTCGAGAAGAAGATGGTTATCCTACTGAACCGAAAGTTTGTTCCCCATTGCCTTTTCTTTTCTGACTCTTCGCTATAACTTTCTCACTACAAGTTCACCATGGCTCAGGAAAGAGCTAGCAAATCCACTCATCATGATTTCCTCGATAACAGTGACATTTCAAGAAAAAAATAGCGAGCGAAACAAATTCGTAACATATAGACAGCAAAAGTTATGCATTGCGCTACTGGCTGATATCAACTTTCAAATAAATTTGCAAATCTTTTCTGGCTCTATTTATTCAGAATGTGTAATTTGCGATCGGATTGTGAGTAATGGCGTGATTGGTACACTACCTTGCAAGTGGTATCAAACTTGCAAAACTTTAGAACCGAAATAAGTTGAAAGGCTTCAATCATGAAAGTTTTGTGATACACATAAAAATTATGCAACGAATTGAATTGTACAAATCGCAGAATTTGCTGAACATGAAAATTGCCAATGGAGCTGAATGATGGCACTCTAATTTGAATCATATGAAAATTGAAAAACCTTAAGAACTTGAATCATATGAAAATTGTCCATGGTTTCAGCTTCCATCGCCCAATCGATGGTCATCAGGCGTTCATGATGGTGTAGGCACTGAGAACGTAAAGCCTGCTCCCATTCATCCCGTTCAGTTGTCACGTTCTGGTGAACCAATACCGTGCGCAGGTATGCTCCTACTAGAGCATCAATTTTTTTGCTTTTTTTCATTGAGAAACGCAAAGATTGAGTTGTTATTGAGGCGCACTAAATAACGTCTGCAATCCAGAAATGGTCAAATGGAATAAAAGTCTGTTAAAAGTTCATTGTCAACTGATTTCATTTGAACGTATCTAATCCAGATGCCAACTGTTACGCTCATGCATTGATTGTCTCCTCTCAGATGGGTTACGTCAATCCGTGCGCAACACTCGTTAACAATCCTTGTGCATCTCGCTTGTCAAATCCATGTCCATCGGTAGTTCTTTTGTACACTACAGTTTCGTTTCACCGTAATCAAGTTTTCATTTAATACTAACGACATTTAAACAAATTCATTAGAGTATAAATTAATTGGAAATGATAATCTTCGCATAAAATATATATTTCTTTTCATATTCACCAATCTGAGACGATTTTTAATTAAGCCAATGTCACCTTATTCCAAATTCACTAACATTATATGTCTTTGAACTACTATTTAAGTGTATTTTTCTACCTTTCTATCCGATACATCGATGTAGACTGGAGTTGGCTTCCATTCTGGTGAAAATCATAACAGCGGAATTTCGAACGAAAATTGAAAATATCGCAGACTGACGACTACGAATTCTTATCGTTATTATTTGAACAATATCCTAGATACCTCAATTAGTGCCTTGTGCATCGTCTATTTCTGACAAGTCTCCACAATCCACTGAAAGCTTATCAGCTGATGTTGTATGGTCGGAATGGTCGGGGTTATCGACTTGCTCTGTTACCTGTGGAGAAGGAATAGCCGAACGACGACGTTTCTGCTCAGTGGAAGGTCATTGCCCAGGTACGTAGCCGGTGACTGATCGAATAAGCGATCATTTCGTCTGGTACAAATTTGGTTTATTAACAGGTGAAATGCGATAACAACGTTTTGATAAGTAAATTGAAAAGTTATTATGAGGGTACATCATTATTTTACTTGTTTAATTAGGTCAGCTCAGTAACATCAACTCCAAAAATAAGGTTCGCTGCTCATCAAGACAGATTGAACAGTAGTTGAAGCGACTGAAGAATAACTGAAGTTACATAATGAAACTCATACGGAAATTTTGTTAGGCGCATCAGTAAGAGAAGAGCCCTGTGAACGAGAGCCATGTGCACAGTGGTCATTGTGGGGGGAATGGTCTGAATGCAGTCAAAGTTGTGGCGGTGGAGAACAGAAACGTAGAAGGATATGCAGCAGTGAACGACAATGTGATGGACCTTCGCAAGTGTGTTATATTTGAAGGCGCAAATCTGCTTAGTCAAACGGCACACAATTTTATCTGAATTTGTGTCGTGGCTAGCGCGAATAGCCAGCATAAATTTAAGAACTGAATAGAATGAATAAAACAATGATGTGAACTGAGAGAAGACAGTATGTAAATAAATTTGAAATGCTGAAAGTAAAGAGACATCTGAAGGTAGCTCGGTTTCGACAATTTCATAACTTCAGATATAAATGTGATGCCCTTTTGCTTTTTTAAATTTGTATATCAAATTGGTCTGAATTCACGAATAATGAAGGAGGCGCAAGAAAGATTTAGTGTAGTTCAACTAAAGTTCAATTTAAAAAATTTCTCAAGAAATGACTTCAATTAAAAATCTTCTGCCCCTCTGTTTGAACTACTTGTTCCACCGTAAAATCTCAATATTTATCAAGATGGCTCGTCCATGTAATGAACAGCCGTGCGTATCAGCCGAATGGACCCCATGGTCGCCTTGGGAACCATGCTCTGCCACATGTGGTACTGGGAAGCAGGAAAGATACAGGTGGGCTCTATCTTCCATTAGTCTATCAAGGACTCGCGAGTCTTGTTGGGACAGTGATCGAACAGCGATGAGATCAATTTGTTTGTTGATATCACTTTCAGCATTTTATTTTTCTGACAATTATTCAGCGAAATGCTAAGAAGATTCAGGCAATGCCTCGATGGTCCTTCATGTCCGGGCCCTTCATCCGAGCAAAGAATCTGTGAAGCTGGTTTATGCCCATCATGGGCCGAATGGCAACCGTGGAGTTCGTGCAGTAAGTCGTGTGGTACGGGACACAAGTTTAGTGCTCAGATTGCTCATTACCTTAAGTTGTTTGCTTGAACGATGTAAAGATTAACTGTTAAGAAACTACTTTAGACTCGTGAACGACTCTGTCAAAATGGAAGAAGATGTGAAGGAGATGGTGAAGAAAGAGCATTCTGTAATCAACAGTCATGTCCTGAATGGATCACATGGTCCGAGTGGAGTGTATGCAGTGAGTCGTGCGGTGATACCGCCACAAAAATTCGAACGAGGTAGCAATTTCGTTTTTAATCAGGTACATCTCATGTTCGGTTGAATCAGAATGTAACTCAATCCAGTAGATCAAAATCGAAAGAATTTGCTGATGTGAAGTTATCACGATGATTGATTCATAAGATGTAATGAATGAATCGCTGTTATTTTATCAAAATATCTTCGTAACATTCATCATTTCTCCATAATTACAAAGTGTTCATCTGAATTGTGTACTCACCATGGGAAATAAATACGTCAAGAACCGATTAAATCTCATTCAAAAGGCGGCAGTTATTGCCGACAGTTTTGCAAATTTCCCATCATACTCACTCTTTGGTTATTGTTGGGATTGAAATGAACAAGGATTTCATCATTGAATCTCTCAAATTGTTCACACGAACAGCACGTTTAGGAAATGTATATACAATGGTGTCAGAAGCTTATTGTGCGAAGGAACAGCTCAAGATCAAGCACCTTGTCGTTCGAACCAATGTCCGGAGTGGGCAAACTGGCAGGATTGGTCCGAGTGTAGCGTGACTTGTGGTCATGGACAACAAATCAGGTTGAATGATTTCACTTAATGTGCATATTACTCTTAGGAATCACATTAAAAATAGTCTCGTATAGTAGGTGAAAGCTTCAGCATTGATCACAGTATTGTTATGAAGCTTGAATATTTGGGTAGTATTAACATTGCTTTCAATTATATGAACGTTTGTAAAAATGTCGCGTTTTGTTAATAACATTTCAAACTAGTTAACCTTTCGTACTACGTTAAGCCAATCAGTTTGATTTTTGCCGAAACATCTCATCGCATTCATAATGTTAAGAAGGCGTACTTGTCAACCAGATGGAGCGTCTTGTGATGGTAATGAAAAAGAGTATCGATTCTGTCAGGACTCAGCATGTCCTTATTGGGATGAGTGGTCAGCATGGAGTGCATGCTCCGTGACATGTGGTATTGGTGCCCGCGAAAGAAGACGCAAGTAGGTCGTTGTTTGGGCATGATGGGATAAGGGATAATTCGTGCTTTTTAAAATCGAGGAAATTTGTCATACTTCACCTCTTCCACTCATCATGTCACATCATTAGCCTAATACCTAATAACAGAGCTTATTTCCTCAAGCTCGTTTCCACCTAACCACAATTTTCCGTTTGTTTACAACAATCGCTTCGTGAGACACTACGATGCAATCGCACGCTATTTAATTCTTCCATTCATAGCTTTCAGTATTGCTTTTACGAATAAGACTCTTGCAATACAACGTTGAATGCAGTGTGTAAAAAATACAACGTAATTCAGGTGTATCAAAGGTGATGGAAGTGTACTGTCAAATATTGACGAAATTATTGCGGACGGAACAGAAGAAATCGATATGAAAAGTTTTTTTAAAAATGATAATCATTTCTCTTATACTCTTGGTTTTTCGGGAATTTATATGGAATCATCGATATGCAGAGAAGAGCTGCCTTGATAAATGATTTCGAAAATTCTCTTTTTCTGAAATATTGCTGAAAAAATGCAGTGAAGTGCAAAAATTTCCATCATTTTCGTTCCAAATGATTTCCTTTGTAAAATCAGGTGTACAGCGAAACAATATTCTCATCATGCTAAATCAAATTAGTCTCTAATTTAGTTTTTATCCGCCCGAAAAAAACATGATTCGTGGTTTGGAAATCGATTAAAAGCACTATGCAATTGAATTACTCAAAACTACTTGATCATCCTTCTGTTTGACTTCTTCTCAATGCAGTAATAGACCAGAAGCAACAAGTACCAGATTCCTAAAAGCAGAACCCATTTAAGGTGCAGCAAAAGCAAAATTAATTGAAATTAATCGAAATCGTCAACGGAATCGAGATGGGGCATTTACAGAAGAGAAAGACACTAGTCAAATTCAGTTCCAAACAGACCTACCTGCCGACGTACTTGCGGTAGGTGTCACGCATCGTTCCAGCGTTTTCCTTTTGTTCAACCTAGCAATTGGTCCTATTTTAATATCCGACTGTGACACTCATTCATGTTATCTTCTGTAATATCCAGAGTCAGCGTTATGTCAGAGTCACTATGTGAAATAACTTTTCAACTTTTGCTTAAGGTGAGCCAAAGTACGAGAGTTAAACGAGAAGATGCGAGAAAAAATCCGTTTTCGGATGCTTCGACCGATGCTTGTGAAGGCAGCGATACTGAACGGAAAGAATGTGATGCAGGCTAGTGAACTGATGAAATGATGAAATGACAAATTGACTTCAATTTGATTTTTGCATTCGCTTTTTTTTGACGGATTTCTGTCCCTGTCGTGCATCTGCTACTCAATCTCGTAATCCATTCTGAACAAGAATTTTACATGACATTTTCTGTTATCACTCATGCAGACATTTATACAGCATTATTTAAAAAGAGTGCGCCATTGACCTGCATGTCTATGCAGGTCAATGGCGCACTCTCATCAGTCGAATTTGAATCGAATTTTTCACGTTGTAATAATTCTTTTGGTTAGGTCCGTGTTGTGTATTATCACAGTGGTCTCCGTGGACTTCGTGCAGTGCATCCTGTGGAGGAGGGCATAGATCAAGGTAATCTATTCTAAGTTATTCTCCTTTTCACGAGCGAGAGAGACGTTTACACTACTTCGTCAGATTTGACTCCAGAAATTCAAACGTTTAAGGATTTTCCGGCTTTTTTTTCTTTTTATGTAATTGCTTCGTGTTTTTAATGTTTTTACGCTCAAAATTTTCCGAGTGTTTTTGAGGCTGCGACAGTGTTCAGCACAGCGTTTACCTTCTATCGGCGTTCAAAGAGTGGACGAATTTCGAGGGCGCTTAAACAATCGTTTGCCACCACCAGCTTCTGGCTATGCCGTGCCTCGTGATTCAGCTTTTTCAGACGATTCATCCCGATTTTTGCGTCCAAAATATCAATCGAGACCAATATTCGCAGGTTCACTTACTCAGGCTTCAATGAGAGTATAAATTTGACGTGAAAATTGGGAAAGTAATTCCCAACGCTTATTGAGATCAGTAATTCAATCAGTGCTCATAAATTTGACTCTGATTTGCAAGGTGATATTTTCTGCAATTATTCAAAAAGCCTGAGTTTCAAGTTGACAACTCAAAGAATTCTTGATTTTTAGATGTTAGAGGACTTCAGCCCATAATACCAGTCAAGCATTTCTCACGACCACGACGACAAGCTTCTTCTCGTAACCAAGGTTAAACGAACGATACAAATATTTTCAGCAGTTTTTGTGGTCGTATACGACAGCTCATGGTTGTTGATGTAATACGTATTGAAATTCGATGTCTTACTCAAACCTTCTGCATATTTCTTCTCAACAAATAATCATAACATTTGCTCATAACACGAGCATCGCAACTGATGATTTCATTGGTGCATTGTAGCTATTTTTACATTTTAGGGAATCATTATTCATACAAATCACAGTGTCAATGCGAAGGAAAGCTATTCGAAGAGGGCGAGTGCAATGTAGAGCCATGTGTTCCTACGCCAGAATCACAACGAAGTGATTGTGCCTGGTCTGAATGGGGAGAATGGTGCGGTTGTAGTGGACCGTGCAATGTGGTTAATTCTTTTAGATAACGTTTATTCTAGCTTCTCAACATTTCAGATTTCGGATTGTTTTGATAAGGATTGGTTAAATACATATCATGTTCTGTTGAATACACAGTGAACACTTCAGGCAGCACGAATTCGTAGTCGTTACTGTGATCGTGCATCGTCATTAACATCGTCCACGTTCGATCGAAGACCATCGCTTCCCGATAAAAATTGCAAGTGTATTGGTGAAACAAGCCAATTCTCTCAATGTCCACCAACGGTTTATTTTAGAGCTATTCTACATTTTATTATTCAATTAAAATTAGAAATGAAAAAGATTTCATTTCAACTAAAAAAACTTATATGTTGATCAATAAACCTATTCAGAAGCCTATATTGGGCAATAGGCACACCAGATTTTCATCATGAACGTTTTACAATCAAATCTCAGGCTGTCAACCACCAACACTCGTCTTCATTGACATCTAATTGATAGATTCATTAATCTCTTTAGATTTGCTCTCCGTCTTCTTTCAACCGTGACCCGACACCGACATCATCTAACTTTTATGCTGCAGCAGCATCAGACATAGGCAGTAATCTAAGAGACAATCGGTTGAGTGGTTGTAGTTGGTCTGAATGGAATCCTTGGGGTGCGTGTGTAGGTGGTATCAAAACACGAACACGATCGTGTGTAGGTACCTCAGGTGAATGCACATATAATTTTGTGAACAGTAACACTTCGATGAATGTCAGCAAACAGTAATTGCGAGTTGATTTCAGTGCTTTTATGTTTTTCTTTTTGAGAATACTCGAAACGAGATTGCTTATGACATTGATTGCTTATGCTTATGACATTCGCCATACACTATGATTCGTAATAAATATCGTAATGAGTTAGGCGATAAATCCATTGTCCACGGATTTGTTGTCTATAGAGCGGCACAACTCTCAGAATATTTAGAACATCAGCTATCTCCATTAATCTAAATCTGCAGTTGTGTTTAGCATAAACTTTCAGCTGTTGCGATTCGCTGTCAGTGTGTAGGACCGGTAATAAGTCAATCAGTCTGTGTGTCCAATTCACTCAGACAGAAAACTTCGAATGATCATTCAAAGGCCGAGCCATCATCGTTGTCCTCATTTTCAACAGTTCCTGACCCCCAAGACGACAGAATTGCATTAGAGAATCGAGATCGAGATTATTGCAGTTGGGAAGTATGGGGTCCATGGAGTAGTTGCTCTGTGAGTTGCGGAAGAGGTGGTGCAAAAATCAGAAGAAGACAATGTCCGTGCAGGTGAGTAACTTTACTCGGATATCACCTAAAATCTCAGTGCGTCTAAAATTTGTGCAAACAATTTCATTGGGTATAAAATTAGTCAATGGTTCATTTTATCGCTCAGTTCCAGCTCGTTTGAATCCTAGGTCCATTGGAATTGTTGCATCAAAAGATTTAATCTCATTAAGTTGCTCGATAGATAGATGAGTTATTGCAAAATATCATTATTACCCAGTGCTATGAACTAAGTGAATCGCTTTTATAGGCACTGCAATAACGGAAGTTCTGGAACCGAAGTCCGAGACTGCGATCTTCCTTCATGCAGGCCTGAAGAAAAACTGAGGAAAGACCCGTTTGATTAAACATCTCGCAGTCAATAAGTCACTGCAACCGAAAATTCCCATGATGCTAGATTCATTTTGTCCTGTTAGATGAACAACCTCTTTGTGGTCATTTGTGTTTACTGTGTTAGATGGAGTCCGTCTAGTTATTTCCAGTTCAGCCATTTCCTCAGATTATTCATAACCTTATGCTTTTACTGCAATCAACTGCAATAAACCTCAGCTAATCAGAACAATAATTGAATAAATGTGTTTACTATTAGATTGTTCTTTTCCTTTTTGTCTTCCTTTGTCTAAGATAATTTGCTTGTTTCATTTGTTTCAAGTGTTTCCAAGAGAATTTTCTCTTTTCAAATAGTTGAATAAAAGAAAAAGGTTGATAGTTGCCAAGCGACATTCATAAGAGTATTCATGTTACATGCTATGTGGATGTCGTAACAACTGTTTCTGCTGAATTGAATTTACAACGCTGTTGTTCAAATCCGGCGATAGTTGGCTTTGCATTTGAGAAAACTGTATTTGGATTGCATTCCAACAGCCCTTCATAAAACTTCGTTTCCCCTCAAGAGAATCCATCATTCTATTCGAGAGTTCTCACTCGTTTCCATGTCATATTTTCATGTCCTTCGAGAGAATTCAATTCATTCCTCGATGTTTGTTTCATTATGTTTTATGATGTGCGTGACGATGATCCAATGGAATGTTCCTGATTCTGCAATTACTCATTTGAGTTGTGTACTTTGTTGAGTCTCAACAGTGTTTTGCAGTAGAATTTTTTGAAAACTGTTTCCCACGTCGATCTCTCGAGAGGTTTATATATTTCTAATGGGGTTGGTAACAGAAGCCAAATTGCATTTTTAAAGCGACGCGGTCAGGTAGAGCACAGAGAAAAAGAGATCCAACAGGGCGAATTAATTCATCGATGAGGCACAGGAATTTGACGTATTTCAAGGCTACACCTGACCTGAATGTGTACATGAGGTGTCATTGGGAAGAGAAATAAATTTTCCACGTTCAGACAAAGACTGGCTACAAGAATTGGCTCATTTCTGGAGCAGTAAAAGTTTAACCAGGGAAGTTTCAATCAAATAAAAGTGATGTGATCAATTGAAGTGGAAAAAGTGTCGGAACAGATCATTTGATTAAATAAATCAGTTAAAGATAATTTCTCGTATAATGCAATTGTAACTTTTTATGGATTATGAAAATTTTCTCACAAATTCTTTAAATGTGATGTTAATCTATTCAATTGCCAAAACACAATCAAAAATTTTTCATTAGGTTCTTCAGTTGAAAATAATGCGCATAAATCAAAGCAATAACAACAGAAACTTCAAATATTTAGCGATTCTGTTCTTATGTACAACGGTTCATCGAAACGTTCGAACACATGCTTAATTTAGCTTGTTTGAAGTATATCCTATGCCTACATCATCAGCAGTACCATATTCGTAACAAAAATATTTTCGAATCATTTTGCAAAATTAGTTGGTATATACAGTGAATAAAAGTGAGCAGCAACACATCCATTTTGCAAAACTGATGTTCGTGAACTTATCTTAACTATACAGTTGAACGTTTTGCTCTAAAATCTTTTCATTCATGACTTTTTTTTCAGTGGAATTTATCTCGACAATAAGAGCTAAAATTCTACCTTTATCCTTGATATATGAAAGTCGATGAGAATCAAAATGAATTTGGACGCGGAATGATCATTATTTGTTGCGTTGAGATGATACAAACACGACATCCAACCCATTCATAACTCTATCGAACTCATTCGATGCTTCCTTGCCACATTCTTTCCGAATTTTCGGTAGCAAGCAGTCATTACATTGCTTCACATCTCTGCATTTTCGCTGAAAACTTATAAATTCGATCAAATTCAAATCCTATCATCTGAAGTCAGTCAATCATGTGATCATGAAGCTTGCGTACACTTGAAATCAGAGTGATGCTCGCAATATTAATGCACACTAATTAATGAGCGTGACTGACAAACCTGATCTTTACCCGGCTCAGCAATGCCTTCGATGAAATATTGACAGCTCTCCAAATTATGCTTCAACTTTCCTTCAGCAATCAAAGTGTTGCATAAAACGTTCAAGATTCGTCGGATTGGTACGAAAGTCTATTTGATTTCGTGTCGCTTTCTTATATCCTTT